TTTAAATAGATTGCTTATAAAAAACTTAGCTAATAATTATAAAATTTTTTAATTATATAAAACTTTTCAGAAAAATTAATATTTTTTAAAATTTTTATTTCATAAATAGTGATAATTTAGTTATTATAAATTTTCAAATGTTGAAATATCAGGTAAAATTTTTTTTGACGAAAACCAAACTCTAAGCATTTGACTATCTTAGCATGTTTACCAATATGCATACTATTGTTTGTTTGTTAAACATTACAAAATCAGTATTGATCTTCAATTAATATGCTAAGGTAATCGAGTATTTGTGTGTGTTAAAAATTTTATTTGCCAATTTTGAACATTGCTATAATCTGATGAAAAATTTAGAAAGTTTATTAAATATTTCATATAAATTAATTAAATTTTAGATATAAAAATATCGATAAATTTAACATTTTTAAAATTATACAAGAATTTTGAAAATAATTACAATATGCTAAATTATAATAGAAATTAATAATATTCTATCATAATAGATATTTCTATAATAATTTACGGATATATCATAGTATAATACAAGTCAGCCCAAAAATATAAAACAATACAATCAAATAAATTTATTTAAACTTACTGCAGGTTTTAACTATATGTGAAATACTCTGGTATATTTTATAAATTTTCTAAATAAAAATACTTCTAAATATAATCATGTATAATAAAAGAAGATATACTAAAATTAATTAGATTTAGAATTTTTATAAAAATTTTTATAATTATTCAAAATTAAATTTATTAATCATAGTTAAAATTACTTTAACTTAAAAATTTTTGAAACTTTTTTAATATTAAAAATATCCATAACTTTATAATAATCTAAAAATATCTAGCTATATATACCCTATTTGTATCTATTCATTTTATTCAAGAATTAGATATAATCAATATATTAATAAATGTGTTAAAACAGCTGATGATGAAGAGGATAGTCAGATACCAAATTTTTATAGCGAAAGCTATAATTTTATAAAAGAATTTAAAAAAATTCAAGATAATAAACCTAATAACAATAATTTAGTTAACTTATTTTCTAGCTCTAAAAATAAGTTATTTAGTTCTAAAAAAAATTTCATAAGCAATATTAAGTTTAGAATTCAATCTTATAAAACTGCAGATGATATTTGCCCAATCACTTCTAATCAGGAAAACCTTTGTAATATTTCAAAAAACTTCGAAGCAAATAATGATATATCTTTTGAATTAGAAAATGAGAATAATATAAGCTTCAAAGTTGCAAATGATGAAGAATTTATTGAAATTCTTCAAGATAATTTGCAGAATTACAAAGATATCACTGAAGATTTAGAGACCTTAATAAATCTCAACAAATTTTTTAGCTCAGAAGAAGAAAATTCTAATAAATTTGAAGATTTTCCTAATGAAGCATATGCAGATTTAATAGGTTTGGTTACTAAGTTTAAACTAAGTAATGCAGTAAAAAATACTATCATCAAATTTTTTAATAAGCATTCAAAACTTTCTAAATCACCTTTACCTAGTAATATTTCACAAGGCAAAACATATATGAACAATATGGAATTAGATTTGTTTTATAAAAAGACTTGTATATTAAAATTTAATGATATTGAATACTTTCTTTACTATATTCCAATTCCTAAATGTATTAAAAATATTTTAAAAATTCCTGACATTGTACAAAATTTTGCAACAAATTTCAAAGAACTTAGTAAAATTTCCAAGATATATTTATATTTTATATTATTTTAATTTTTAAATTTATTTTTAATTTTATCTTTTATAGGATGACAAAGAAATTATTTATAGAGAACAAAATAATAGAATATAGTAGAAATCTATACAAAATTCTTTGCCTATTGGCTCTAAAATTTTATCTATTATTTTGTATTCTGATGTAACTAATTGTGATAATTTAGGAAAAAGCCAACTTCATCCTATATATTTGTCTCTTGGTAATATATCTACTTGGAGAAGAAACAAGCAGGATGCTAAACAACTTTTAGGATACTTACTAATAATAAAATCATCTTCTGATATAAACAAATCTATAATTAGACAAATATTTCATAAATGTTTGGAAATAATTTTAGAACCAATTTGATCTTTATCAGAAAGTGGTATAGATTTATTATTAGGTGACAAGTATATTAGTTTTTTCTAAATATTTTGACTATTATTGCAGATTGGCCTGAAGCTGCAACATTTTGTTTGACTTACAAGTTAACAAATTCCACATGCCCATATTATTTTTGTTTGATTAACAGAAAGCATCTAGCTAATTTAAAGTTTTTTAAAAATGATTTGAAATTTAGGACACATCAAAATATGCAAAATTATTTTGAGAATAATGAAAAAAATCAGTATGTATTGAATCAGTACAAAATTATTTTTGAAGATTCAAGTAAGTTTTATTAATTTTATATAATTTTTGTAAAATTTTGAAAATTTTTGCAAATTTTAATAGTTCAATTTATATATTATATGAATTTAACTTCAAAAATTTTTGCAATCTTTTGAAATTTTATAAATTATTATAAAATTCTAAATTTTGCGAATTATTACATTTATAAATTTTTGAAAATCTTTGCAATTGTTTGAAATTTACATTTATATTTAAAATTGAAATACTTTGCAAATTTTTGTAATTATTCAATCTATATATCTATTTAAATTTAACTATGCAAATTTTTGCAAACTTTTGTAATTTTATACATTTTTATAAAATTCTAAATTTTTGCAAATTATTACTTTATATAAATTTTTTGCAATTTTTTGAAATTATATATAATATTGAAAATATTTCGTAAATTTTTGCAAATTTTTGTAATTTTATACCTTTATTTGCACTGTAACACTTTTCAGTACAAATAATATAATAAAAAACAACTAAATAGTAAATAATAAAAATAAATATATCTAAGCTACAGCAAAATAATTAATGATATTTTTATAAAAACTTTAAAGTATTTAGATTTTGCAAAAACATATTCGCATCCTTATATGTTATAATTTTATAATATAATATAAAAAATTTTTATTTATATTTGATAATTTAAAATTAAAGTAATTAATATATATTTTATAATAAAATATATATATTATTTAAATTTATAATATAATATAAATTTTATAATATTTTTATACTAATATATATAAAAAACTTTATTTTTTATATGATTATTATAAAATTAAAGTAGTCTATATATTTTCTAATTAGGAAATGATTGATAGAACCAATAAAATTTAAAGCTGTTATCAATATTTTAAAAAAATACTTGTATATTCATACATATCAAAGTGATTTAAAAATGATGAAAATTTATTGTTGTTGAAGCAAATTTTTTAGACAAAATTCTTTTTTACTTAAAAATTCTCAACATATTTACAAAATTTATTTACTAAACAACACTTAACAAAATGTATTCTTTATTAAATTTAGTTTTTACTTTTTTTGTTATTATTGGATTGTTTATTGTTGATTTTATCACTGGCGACTCAATATTTGAAATTTACTTCAATATTGATTTAATAAAAAATTATATTAAAAATATATTTTTTAATCGATATATTTTAATATTTATATGTTTAATTAGCCAAATCTTATTAAAAATAGATTTTTATTACTAAAAATAATAATATAAAAATAAATATATACAACTAAAAATAGAATATACAAAAATAGAACAATATAAAATAAAAACTATTATACAGTTATTAATAAGCTAAATATTCTTTGTTGTATTGTTCAATATCACTATATAAGAATAAATATTTAATACTATATTTTTCACAATCATAATTAATATTTTTAAACCATTCTACACAATTATTTTCATATCCTTTTCTTTTCCATTCTATCAAATCCATTGTATTGTTTATAATTTCAAATTTAAGTTCATCTTTATAAGTATAGAAGTAAGAGTGAATATAAGCTTCAAGATAACCTAAAAGATTTTGAAGCCTTTTGTTTTTTATATAATTATAGTTTCATAAAGAGCATGAAACTATATTATTTCTGGTTAAATAGTTTTTAAAGTCTTCGTATTTTGTAAAAACAATATACTCTTTCTTATATATTGCTTCAAATACTTCAACTTCAAATTGTTTTTCACTATTGATAGTTAGAGAGAGGAAAGAAATTTCTTCTGTTTTGGCAATCAACAATGATAACCAATTTTCTTGATATGGTTTTTCATTGCTACAACTCCAAGTCTTTTCTACTTCTTTTTGTTGTTTTTTAAAGAATTTGTTGAAAAGTTTCTTGATAAAATTCATTTTTAAAATTAAAATTTTTTTTTTTTTTTTTTTAACTTTGGTAACTTCGCACAAATTTATTAGACATATATAAGCTTAGACCAGCTAGACTATCTAAAATCATATTTGGCTAATACCCGGCTGCTATAAAAGTGCCCAAGTATGGTT